TAATGATGAGATCCCTTTTTTTTTCATGAATTTATCTGAATTGTTGTACCTGTCTGATGGAAGTAGCTCACACTCCTTTCTTCCGGCCACGGAAATACATGCCACCAAGTTGTAAGAAAAGCACTTTGGTTTGTTTTCACAGGAAAATCCACATTCGTCGCCGTCTTCAACTCGGAATGAACTGATGTTGTTGATATTTAAGTAAAAAAACACTTCTTCTACCATCAGTCATCAACAACGCGTTATCTGAGGAATCTCGATTGAGACCTTGGAAAAAAAAGGTTAATGAAGATTTTAGAAACTGCTATTGATCTAGCTCTTCAAAACGCTATTGCCATTACAAATTACGAATTTATCGCAGAAAATAAACTTTTCAGTACCTTGCGAAGTTTGAAGACAACTAAAAAAGCAAACGAGTAAGGGTAAACATTTTCCAAGTCTCAGTTGAGCGCCGAGTTCCATTTCTTTTTTCTCCGAGATGCTGAATCATTAACTTATATACACGGTATAAAAGCGCTAACAGAATGGCTGTATTAAAGTTGTAATATTTCCTAAAGAAGCTTTTAAGAAGATTGTTTGAAAAATGTTTGTTGCTATTTGACTGGAAGGAAATGCAATCACATGACGCAAGTACGGTTTCTAGGTTTTTGGCGTTCGAAGTAAGTTCATTAAGCACCTGTCTCCATGAGACCAAAAAGCATATATTATCTTCGGTAAACGGTTTAACAACGCTAATTGCACCTGCATAATCCAGCCAGTCAACATTATTTTAGATAGCTTCGCAAAAAAATTCGTAAAAATTGTTGTATGTTGAAACACTGCATACGTGTATATGGGGAAAAACAAGAGAAGCATAAGCTGCCATTGCGCTGCCTGATTAAACCGCTTCTATCGACATCCTTTTTCGCACCTTCAGCTGTTTCGAATTGTAGTAGAACTATTTTAGGCTTACTGAAGAGTGACACGATGACTAAAAATTAAACTGAATGATAATGTTAATGATTGTTTACTGTTATCTCTTCCTAAACGCTCAAATTGAATACAAATTAAATAATGTTTTGTTTGATAAAATTCTTAGCCCCTAATTAATTTAATTCTAGCGCTCTCAGTAGATCACTTGCTCGATCCTTTTTATCAGCCTATATTAATTTCATAATTAATAATAATAACTTAATAATAACTTACACCTTTGCCAAGAAACGAAATTACCGCGCTTGTTATCGCTAAGAATCTGTAATTATTGCTATCATCATCATCGATAAAATTTCCTCAATTTTTGCCATTGACATAGTTATCACTATTTTGTTATTATTATTGCTACCATTAGTAATGGTAATAGGACTGAGTACAGTCCAATTTGGTCCTTAATCATACTCGTGATAACAAAATCGGACAACCGCTGCGCGATCGTCCGATTTGTCTATCACAGCATGATTACAAAACCGAATTGGACAATATGAAGTCTTACTATATGGCTGTGTCTCACAAGGACAAGGAACTACCGATATCACGAATTTGATTGGCTGAAATCAACATTGAAAGCGGTCTAGATTTTCCAACCTAGATCGCCATCTAGACCGGTCTAGAAAAAAAGTTACAAAGAATAAAAAAAATTGGCATAAAAGACA